GCTCGACTGGTGGCGTAGTTTGCCAGTTCGGTGAATAGGATGCTCACCATGCAGAAGTTTAGAAATGCCGGCTGCCCACAGATGTAGACCCGATGATGCTCGTGATGAGCTGACTGAACTGTCCTCGTCCCTTTCCACATCGCCACATATACTACCTACAAGGAGCTAGAGCGGGTTTTGAACTTACTATCCATTGGTTGAAAGTCATCTTCCTAAACCATTGAGCCACAGCTCCAAGTATTCCAGAATAGCTAATGTTCTTTTCCGATTTCTTTGCCTTCCTCATACTTTATTTCTCACTCTGTAATGTCACTTAAATTATGTCATCTTGAGTTTATGTAATCGTTTATTGTTCCCTATGCTGCTTCCATCATCGAGTCAACCATCGAAATTTGAGTTTTCTTTCCTTATATGTGTATGCATTTGTGTATACATAGTGTAGACAATTTTGAAACATTTCCCACATTAACCCAAGTTTGTGGTGTAATTTGCTCCTGCATAGTTTTGAAACTTCTCCGACTTATTAATTGACTAATACCGTTCACTATTTTTAGCGAGGTTTCAATACATGTGTGTGTGTGTGTGTGTGTGTGTGTGTGTGTGTGTGTGTGTGGTTGACTAGCTTATATTTTAGTCTTTGTTTTATCTTCGGTGACAAAGTTACTGTGATGGTGTGTGATTTTATAAAATACGACACTATGCCTCCAGTTTTATTTTTCAAGGAATCGGCACTTTTTATGTGTGTACTTTCCAATTTATATGACATCCTCTCTGTTTCGAAAGTTATGGACTGTCAACGCTTTTTAAAAATTGGTATTCTCTAAATCCTTTTACTTTGGTGATCAAAGTGTATCGGTTATTTGTTTTTAAGCGATAAAATATAGATTGAATGAAGAAATATTTCTTCTCAAGTAAGTCTCCGTCATTGGTTGTACACTAATATATGAGTTTCACATTTTATAACATGATACCATTTAGTGGTGGTGGTGGTAGTTAGCCACCCAACTAAATAATTGTAAATTTCTCATTACTCATAAGGCTAACAATAAGAGAAACGAAGATGCAAAATGAATGATGGATATCCTGCCAACTTCGTGAACAAGCATATAATGGCAACAAAAATTCAACCAAAAATGATTACTGGTGTGAAGAAACCTATTTCCTTAAAACTTGAATTCAAAGACGATATCACCAGCGAGACTATAACACAACGTTTGAGAAGAACATTTCAGAGAACGCTCACTGCTAAAAAGTTATGTCCTTTCTGCTACAATCAACAAATTATTGTTCCAAGGCATAAAAAGAGACTTCGTGATTCTGCCTGTTCTATGTGCATTTATCCGTTTAACTACTCCTATGAAGCTGATTACATAGGGCATACAGTAGGCCAGCCAAGTCCATCGTAGAATATCTGAACACCAACCATCATGGTTAAGTAACGGTTTTGTTTGCCACGTACCATCTAGTCTTTGGCGCAGTCTATGTAGTCGCTTGCTACACATGGCAAAACCTGTTTACCTTACTTCTCTACAAACCGAATCTCTGTATTCAAAACAAACTTGTACAACCTGTGTCATTACCTTGGTCATTAGTTTAAATTGACGTATGACTTCAATTTATTCCGATGTTTGTCTATTGGACTAAAATCTGTTGGCAAAGGGCTGCCGCCTCCCTCGCGTCATCTCATATTATTGAGGAGACAGATTACCCGTCTCGTTAATTTTCCATCTGTGCATTTTTTAGGTAATTCTGTTGGCATATATTTACTCACCTAGAGTTGCCCTTTTTTTCAACCTTCTTGTTGCTTGTTGTGCCAATAGTGAATTAAAAATTTGTTTTATTCTTTTGGCACTTTTCAATTTTATGTAAATACCGTATTCATCAATTTGCATCAATATTTCTCTTATTGTTAGCCTTCTGAATAACGAATAATTTATAGTAATGTTACTTAGATGATTCACCCCCATTAAATGATATCATATTACTAAATGTACAACGTGTATATTAATGTAGAGCCGACGACGAATACTTAATTGAAAATAATCACTTCACACAATCTCTTTCATTTTTTTGTTCCATTCTTGTCTCCTTATTTTTGATGCTCTATGAATAAGTGAACTCACCTGTTTTTATCTGATACATGTAGAAATGATGTAATTCAGACTAAAAATTACGTCAAATGTTGTTATATTTTGATAAACTTCAAGCTTGATACTACTTACATTTCTAAATTAAGTAACTTGAAGTGTTCGTTGAAAATAATGAGGAACCAACTGTGACTTGCGAACTGATTTATTTGAGTTAATTAATTATTGAATTGTTCTATTCGAAATTAGTTATGGTTACGAATTGTATACAGGTGTGTAGGACAAAGTAAAATATGGCAGTTTTGTATCTTTGATTTGGAATCCTTTAGTAATGCTGAACTTTATTTTACGTCTGATGACCAGTAGTACACCATTGTTGAAAGGTACTCAAATGATCCACATTCCCTAATCATATTCAGCATTCTTTTTGATAAGATCCAGTGTCACCGTGGATATTTTCTCACCCCCATCCCCTGTTGTTCAACCACGTAGGTTATGACCTTTCAATGAAACCTCTGAAGCTTCGTATTGTAAGGGGTCGCTGATCAACAGTAGATTGTGTTACTTAGTTAATTGGTGCATGAAAAGTGGAACTATGTATTGTGTGACTACAAGTGTGTTATAAAAAGGAATAGCTGCTTGTTTGTTGTTTCTTAATAATCACATCTACAGTCTCCCAGCTATTAAAAAGCCTTGACATCTGAGTCTAACTGAGTATTTTAGTTTTCAGAATTTAACAAGACTGAAATTCCATGTCAAATGAGAAATGATGCTTTGGGACTGGTTTGCTGCAAGTTACTTCCGGTTTAATGATAGTCAGTGAAATGGTGGAATGTGTCGACCACTTCACTTGGGGAGTTGCATCAGCTAGAACAGGTGCAGACGAAATCTCAGCTCAGATACAGAAGGTCCGTTTGGCACTTGACAGCTTGCGTCGTTATCTGTGTCGAAAACCTATCAAAGAAATAGCATACTTCACTGAAGTCACTTTTGTCTTGCTATACTGTTGTAAGACATGACTGCGTTACGGGGTTTTGATCACGTATATCTTCGTAGCATTGCTTGGGTTTGGTGGAATCACCGTATGAGCAATGTTGAGTTCAGGTGTAGGATACTAGGGAGAACAGGAATGTCGATTGATAAGGCTGTGAACCTTCATTCACTGAGATGTCTTGAACATGTATTGCGTATGTGGATCCATCGCCTACCTCGACGTGCCATGCTAGGGGAAGCTGGGTTGGGTTGAAAAAGAGTCCAGGATGGCCAGACCAGAATTTGACACTAGTCAATAAAGTCAGTGACTGTTGGAAATGTAGACTACTCAGCTGGGGTCGCTGAGACGACAGGAATCAGTGGTTGAGGACTGAATGTTGGCGACATGGCTGAAAATAGGTCACAGTAGCGCAAACACATTCACTCTTCGACGTCTTCTAAATGTTTAATGTTTGCACTAACCTTTGTTTTCGAGTTGTTTATTCTCTCACACAATTTGGTCTACTTTGATATCACTCTTATTCTACCCACTTGTTTTATCTACACTACTGCAGTAAGTGTGTAGCAACTTGAGTTGATGCACTTGTGTGCGAAGTTCTACATTGACTTCGTCTCTTTTTCTATCAATCTGTTTGGTTCAGTTGTAAGAGAGTTTGTGAATTTATTCTCCAAGTATTTGTGTTGCTTGTTTTTTTGATGGTATCAAATTATGGTGGAAACCACTTGTAAAGGTAACGATGTTCGTTACTCTGATTCAATGAAATCGTTAGAATTATTCATTCATCTCAAAATACCTTGCCTAAATTAATGGTTTATGAGTTATTGTATTCTAATCGTACTTCCTTTCGGAAAAAAATCTTTTCACTGTTAAGTAAAAAGTGTCAATATACGAACCAGTGACATTTTTTGTATGCGTTCAAAATTCTTCATCTGTCCTTTGTACTGCAGTGAACTATACTATTGAAGAATAAACTAATGACTCGTATCGAGGAACTTTTTTTAATCCCCCGTCTCAATAAGCTTTTGGTAACGTTGGTTGTCTCTGTGAAACCGTTTCGTACGTGAGGTAGACAGACCACTGGTGAATTTTATTGAGTCACCTTTCAAATCGATATAGTACAACACTGTTGAAATGGCTTCGCAATAAAAACTTGCAACATTGAGTAGTGTATAACAGTTCTTTTTTAGAGTTTTTTCTTATCTCAAATATGTGTACCTGTATCCCAGTGATTGATGTTGCTCCTACTTGAACTCGGGACCGATCGCCTATGTAACGTTTCATATCTCTAATTGTTTGGTACTTGCTAATGGTTTAGCAGATTTTACACTGGCATCGATGTCTTGTGTATACACTTGTTAACTATGTGGGAAAGTTACTTCTATAAACCATATAAGTTTATGTGTGTGTACATATGTGTTGACGAAGAACAACAAATGCATCTTTGAGACCAGGTTTGATATGAACCGATTAACAATTATGCTAACTCTTACATGGTTATCCTATTTTTGTTAGTTTCAACAAAAAAACTCCAAAATTTTAGCAGAGATTTTAGATTTACACCCAATTTTGAACAGTGATCCGCAATTATAACCGTCCAGGTGACCCTTTGATGCGAGAAAATACTGAGAAGGAAGAATAGGTATTGCCTTTCAGCAGGAGGTGTCATCCTTCTAAACTTACCTATTTGTCACATGTTCATATGATCTCACCTTATCGAAGTATGCTTACATAACTTCCATTTTGTATCCCTTTGTTCCCAGCCTAAATGATATTTTCTAGATATACCTCAGCGTATCGGTTAAATATTACATATCTGAAAGCCGTGTTTACCGGTCATACATGTTTCGTTTGTTTTCTCTTATTTATTGTTGATGGTGTTTATCACGTTTTGGGTTTATCTTTGTTTAACTTACATTTAGATCCAGAGGAAGTAGACATCGAGCTTCAATTAGATCAAATGCCGTTGTCACGAAATCGAAAGCAAAATAACAGTTTCCGTCATGCAGTGGATCGTTCACTTTTCCCAACTACTACTGATAACAATATTAGCAGTAATAATTATGCAAACACATTAAATATGAAATCTTTGCCTAAAACATGCTTTGAATCTCTTGATGTAAATTCTCCTCCTCCCCCTCCTGTACCTCCATATCACCCGCGTAGTGAGACTAGTAGCCATGGTAAGCTGGGCATCGGAGGTTGTCATAAAAGTAGTAAAGCGAAAATCTCCAGCCCTTTGCCTCAACCGTCTTCACATTCTTCCTCTGTTTCCAATACGAATCACCCTGAACGCCCTCGTTCAAAATCACGTTCAGAAATTAATTCACAAACTACACTCTTATTTCAAGATAAATCTTTACATTCTTCGTCAAACAGTACGCATTTAACCACTGAACAGAAACAGAATAAAAGTGACTAACAACTTTAAAAAATATTTTTAGGTAAGTAAGGTGCTTGAAATCGTATTTTTTCTCTGTTTTTTTACGGTATTGTCTTTTATGCATACAGTCGAAAAATAACATCACAGACGTTATTTAAACAATAAGATACATTTTTATCAGTAAAACTGTTTCCTTTCAAATGAAATGGTCAGAACGTAAGTTCGAAGTAAAAGCCTGATCAGTAATTAGACCGCTAGCGGATAATGAACGAATATCTGGTGATAGTGAACTCATTCATATCCTTAACACCTCTATGAACTTCATTGACTGAGATGGCTTGGAAATGTACTGCACATGCCGAACCACCGCCTACCTCGACGTGCCATCCTACGAGAAGTTGGATTAGTTTCAAGAAGATTTCAGGATGATTAGACCAAGACTTGACACCAGAGCTTTAAGTCCCTAGTTGCCGGACTGGGTCATACTTAGAGATGTAAACTACTCAGCTGGGTATCCCTCACATGACAGGAATGAGTGTTCGAGGACTCTTATGACAAGGCTGGAAACCAGTCACAGGAGTGCAGATATATTCACTCCTTGACATTTTTAGCTTGAATATTTGCACTAACCTTTGTCTTCGAATTGTTTATTCTCTCATACAACTTTTTCTCCTTTGATATCACTCTTATTCTATCCACCTGTTTTTTGTAAACTACTGCGGCAAGTGTGAAGCAACTTGAGTTGACGCACTTGTATGAGAAGTTCTACATTGATTTAGTCTTTTATCCATCTGTCTTAGGTGGTATGTTCCGAAACAGGTCACAGATACATCTATTCCTTGATTTCCTAGTGGAGATTTTGATTGTTTTATGTCTTTTTGTAAATTTTTTCGACTTGTACCCTCTTTTATAGTAAGATGACAGAAATGCAGACTTGTTTTCATGCTGTTCATCCATTTCTAACTGATTAGCCTCCAGCTAAAGGATTTTACCTAAGTGTCCTTGGTACGGTTCACTACGGGTTATGGAAGCAGTTGCTCAGTCCATTATGTATTCAATCACCCGGGCCAGTCTAACGGCAGTTATTGAAAATAAAGTGTGTGGTCAGCATAGTATCCTTTGGTAAAGAAAACTCGACTGGCAGTTGGAGTTGCTTTGATATAGTAAAACTTAACTTTAGTTAAACATCTTGAATTCCGTTTTTTGTCTTATTTCCTTCCCAGTTTATTTTTGAGTAGCCTATTTTGCCCAAGTACTTGATGTTTTAACATGACTACTAAAATATTTACTCCGCTTAGCTTGATAAGTTTGTTTCTAATGTACAGAAAAGCTGATGGCTATACCTTTTTTTGTTTCAATGCTCATCAAATCTTGTTTAATAGAATTGGCAATTCAAAAACTGTATCAGATTTAAATGATCCCATGTTGAAAAATGTTAGTTATTCAGAGACATCAGAATCATCAACTCTTCTATCTAAAAAACAAATACGACGCCTTTCTGTCCCAGAATATCAAATTTCTACTAATCACCTAACACCTTCAACATTGATCACAGACATTCAAAATGATAGTCTTTTACTTGCTAAGAAAACTCCGAGTAATCATTCCTCTGGTCAGTACAGATCATGTAAAGCTGCTCATATCAATTCGCATTCAATGTGGAATAATGATTCATCTTTGAGCAAAGTTCTATCTCCATGTATGTTGAATAGTCGCAATACTGTACGCGTTAATCCTTACTGTCCTCCACCAGATATAAATCCACCACCACTACCTCCTCGTGTAGGCTATTCAACACCATCAGTTATATCTCCACAATCACATCATTCCAAGCCGATTAAATATCGTCCGCTTCCAGAAACGCCTAAAACTTCCTGTACTTCTACTGCTACTACTATTGCTAATACCAGTATACCGAAACAAAGTATGCAGAAGAAATCTTCATATTCAATCCCAATGTCTGTTACATCTCCTCCATCGTCTACATGTATAAACCAAATTAGTAATACTGTCAATCATCAATCTTCGCCTTTACATCAATCCTCAAAGGTGATTCAATAGTTCCTACTTCTCTAATACAAACCACTCAACCAACTTTACCAGCTAACAGTAAAAAGTCAAACTCTTGTCATGATAATCAAAAACATCATCATCGTCAATGTGGTTATGTGATGTCAATTCCAGATACTACTCGTCATCATCGTCATCGTGAAGGTCAGTATTCATCCAATCAGAATGCTGTTCATCCTGATTGTTGTGTTGAATCTCAAGTAAGTGAATAATATGCATACATCTTTCTTTTGGACTGCTTTTGTAGATATGTACAATGTATTTAATTCAGTATTAGTTACGTATGGGTTTTTTCAGTAGATGTTGGGAGTTATTTGGTGGACAAGCATAGATCTAGATTTCTCGCTTTTTGCCATTCATCAACAAGATGTATGTTGGCAACCATGAAGAGACTGTTGTTTTCCCCCCAGACATTCGAACTTGCATTAGTCAGTGCTGAAGTAAGAGACTAAATCATAAAGCTGTTCAGCCAGCAATTGATACCACAAAGGATTGAATTACATACAAGATTTTGTGATCTGTAAGTAACCGACGTAGGTGTGCTATCCTTATTGTCTGTCACTGGTCAGTTAGGTTTCGCAATGCGATTGTTTTGGTCTATTGATCTTCGTGAGTTTCTCGGGTCGACCAAATGTCACCGATCATACCTAAGGCTTGTTATTAGGTGCATATGCGTGAAAACAGTGTACACAACAAGTAATGCACTGCTTTAACGCAGAAGGCTCCACGGTTGCGGGTACATCCTTAGCTGGGACGGCATCGAGTACTCGGCCTGGTTTATCTTTCTAAGCTCACCCGTACTTTCCACTCATCACTCCTCTAGTATTACCCCTCCTCTCATCATGGTTGGACAACAGCACTCAACCATTTTAGTTCCTAACGCCTGTGCAGTTAGCGAACTATTGACCCCGTTCATGAGTCAATCTGTTACTGCCTCCGAAAACCCGTTCCAAACTTCGACTGTTCAATAACAGCTTCTATTAGTGAAGTGATGTGACGCTGTCGTGCACTGTATTTCGATGCCAGTTGTCGCTTGTGAACAGCTTAGTTGTGAACTTTCTCACATCAGAACTGAGTAACATAGGTCTGAATCACTGAAGGAAGGTTGCTGACAGGCTTTTGCCATGATGAGTACTAACCAAATCTAGGTCCAGGATTTTCTACCAAGTGTTTTTCAGCATCTAACAGAGAAATCATGTGACTAATCAGTGTCTGTATCTGTTGAATTGAAAAGATATCAAAATAAAACCATAGGTTACTTATAATATTTCAGGAGCAGACAGATAGATTAATGTCGAACTTGATGCACTTCATCAGACCAGTTTGTCACACTTCGCAGAAGCATGAAGAGAACAAGTGCGGACAGAAAAAGAGTGATATCCAAGTACAAAAAGGTGTATGAGACGAGAAGAATTTAAAAAATGGTGCTTAGTAAAAATCTTCAAGCTTTAGAAGGCGACAGAGAGTGAATACCTCTGCGCCAATGTGACTGGTTTTACCTCCCACATGGCGCAGACCAATTAACAGGAGACTTCATGTCTTGTTTTTGGTGAGTGTTTTTTACTACCTACAAGGATGGAAGATATGATGAAGTTAAGAATGAGACGATGGATCTATGAGTCCACCGTAATTAGACTGGGTCTTGCTTATCAGTTAGTAAGCACTGGTCCGAAAACCCTGGGGTTCCTGGTTTGAATCTTGTCACGGCCTAAATTTCCTTTTCACCTTCATCACTACCTAGTTTGTTTAATATATGTTAAGAAGGAAATTATAAACGTACACACATTATCCTCATCCTAACACTACACAGATTCCACCATTTTGTCATTTTTCCTTTCTTTCTTCTCGTGCCTTGTATTTCTTTTGACTGAATTTTCTTATCTTCATCTTTCACCTCACTACCTTTTTACTTGATGTACTGATATGAGCTGTGGCAACTCGAACCGTTACGCAGTAATGCATGGTCCTATGTTGATGTTGATGATGATGGCACTGTTACTAAACTGTAAGTCAGCTGTTCAGTAATGTGTACAAACTCATCATAATACTTTAAGTTTGTATCATAGAATTTGTTATCGGCATAATTAGTTTGTTGCATTACACTGCTTGCTTGATTTAATGTTTTCAAATTTCATTTCGAAAATGAGTTTCATTGAAAGTTGGGGTATATACGTAAAGTTGTGACCCACTGGTTTAGGGAGTTGACTTTGAACCTGTCGGTCACGGGTTCGGACACCATTCTACCTACTGAGGTTTGACCATCTAGGTGGTAGTGTCATGAGCCCTCACACTATTGGTGTAGCTCACTGCCGACTGCACGAGAATGTTTAGAAGGTTTCTGAGTTCGTTCATTCATATATGTATTGGTAATCAAGACTAATATGTGTTACTGATGTTAGCTATGAAATGAGTATTTTTCTAATATTCATTTACTGTATACCATTGACTTTACTAACAATATGGCATTTGGACACTGATCTCTATCATCTTTCCCTTCTTTTCCTGTCGCTGATTGTTTCATTTCAGACGCCTGCTGTTTACATCAATTCACGGCATGCAAGTAAGCAGCCTAAGAAGACTGCTCCATCTCCACATCGTTCACGTTCTACACATTCTCATTCATCATCGAATAATAATAGTGTAACTGCTCCCAATTCTATCCTATTCTACCAAGCACCACTTCCATCTAGTCATTCTTCTGTATCTAGTAGCCGTCGTCACCGGCTACAAGAACATGGGAAGTCCGATGGTCACTCAAAAAACAGGTAAGATAATAAATTTTAATCATCTTAATCACCGAACAATTTCACAAATATATTGGATGCCGAGTGAAAAGTTGACATAAAATAATTTAACTGATATTTGTAAAAATCTCACCATGTTTGAAATAAATATTACCGAAATGTTGCACGGATGTCTAGTCGGATGTATCCACATGTTCGATTGACGCCCTTTCTGAAACACTACTCAACATGTAGAGAAACGAGCTAGTAAGCAATTTCAAAGTTATCTTTTGGTTTTCTAATCGAGAAAGTAAGTTAGCCAATGTGTTTGTAAATCTGTTGTGACCTACTTTCCATCATCAATTGAAATCTGCTGATTAATATCTATGACATCAGCAATATGGATTTTTGAACAGCGTGGTTAAAGTATGGAAGTAGTGTCAAACCAAGTCGTGATAGTGATTCATGAAGTCACTGCCTTGTTAATGCTTACCGTATAGATAAATGTGGACGTTTTCTTTAGGGTATGCAAGATTGTAGAAATTAATAAGTAGAGAAGCCTTAGGTGGTATAAAACATGTACCAGTCGATGAAGTCCCTGACTGTTTATTTGAGCCGTTTGGAGAGATCTGGACTGGTTAGGGTCCTCGAGACGAAAGGATTCAGTGGTTTGACGACTCTTCGTGACATGGCTGAAAATCGGTCACAGTGGTGCAGATGTATTCACCCTTGAATATTCACACTAACCTTTATCTTCAGATTGTTGATTTTCTCACACAACTTTGTCTACTTTGATATCACTCTTTTACTAACCACCAGTTCTTTGCATGTTGCTGTGACGTGTGGCAGCTTGAATCGTTGCACTCCTGTATGAGTTTCTACGGTAACTTTGTTTGTCTGTCTTTGAATTCAACGGGGCTTTTAGAGACAGCTTCATCCAGGACTAACATCCCATCTATGTAAAGCTGTGGTAATCGAGGCTGTAAAGTATTTTTCTTAGTGTGTAATTTTAGTGACCAATATGGACGAAAAATGCTTAACCAATGACTGAAGTTATCAGATAGACAATGGTAATTCATTGAGTTACGAGTTCTAATAACCAATAAGGTCTGTTTAGCATCAAGGGAAAAGCGGATTCTTCTTTCACTGTGTTGAGTGAATATCTCGCTTCGGAAACATTCTTCAATGATCCCTTTTTAGTTGTCGCATGAGCAACCAGTGCATATGAATAATTCATTCTTATGGAGAAGGAGGAAGGGTGCGTCCTCATCAGCAGTCTACATTTACTGGTCACTGGAGGGCAACCAATTTTATTTTGTCCAGTCGTATGCGCCTACTTTACTATTCGTTTTCACCAATGACCTAATAATCATCTGTCGCCTACAGATGCAGTATTGTTCAGAATCACCGAAATAAAAGTTATTCAGACTATTTGACCATCTAATTTCTCACTGTTTTCTATGGGAATTTATTCCTTGGAATTATACAATAATGAATCTTTTTGCTTGAATTCCTATCTCTTTTCTGACATCGTATATAAACTGCCTTTCATTTATCCAGACTTCTTTTGTCGTATATTCTTTAAGCATAGGCTGTATTATTGGGGAAGGTTTTTGTGTGTAAACTAAGTAATCAAATATTCTGTCCGGTTTTCTGTCCCTTCCTATCTCGTTTAAGATACTCACTTTGATCATATAAATGAACTTTAGTCCTGCGAATTTGTGTCTGTGCGTGAGAGAGAGAGAGAGAGGAAGGGAGAGATTATAACTAACATAGGTTCCGGAACAATTGAAAGCCTGAGAACGCTGGGCAGCTGTCTCGTCCACGTATAGGACTCTACAGATGTCTCGACCAACAACCCTCTACTTATCGAATTCAGCACCTTCACGATTAACGCCTTAACCATTGAGCCACTGTATCGGAGTTCAGGGCTCCACAGTTTCCTACTTCTGTCAATTCGTGATATACCGCGACTTTGCACCAAGGTCTTTAGTTGGTATTCCCTTCATTTCTAACTTTGTCGACCCCACTGGTTACGGCTTCTCATTAGAACTCAGGGATATCCATTCTGTAGCATTTCACTATGAGCACTAAGCAGTTACATACTTTGAATTGTATGAGGATCTTATTTCAAGGCAGTATTCACCACGAACTGATCATTTGGAAAGTCTGGGGGACAAAATTATTTACTAGATATCAGTATCATCATTAATATCAACATAGGACCATGCATTACTGCGTAACGGTTCGAGTTGCCACAACTCATATCAGTACATCAAGTAAAAAGGTAGTGAGGTGAAAGATGAAGATAAGAAAATTCAGTCAAAAGAAACGTGAAGCACGAGAAGAAAGAAAGGAAAAATGACAAAATGGTGGGAATCTGTGTAGTGTTAGGATGAGGATAATATGTGTATACATCTGTGCCACTGACATCGGTTCTGAGCCATATCACCTAGTCACCAGCCACTGGTTCCTCTTGTGCCGCGGACCCCAACCACTTAGTCTGCACCGCCCCACATGGCTCCAACCAACATTCAGATACTTCATGCATTGGTGCCATGTTTTAGTCTGGCTGTCTAGAGACTTTCTACAGCCTGGAATTACTTCAGCCAACATTGTGTGACGAGGCAGTCGGTGACTAGGCATACGTAACACATATCGGAGCCAACCATCTCAGTCAATGACGGTTCATAACCTCGTCAACAGATTTACACCTGCTCCCTAAAACTCTATACCTGACATCTGCATTACTCACGTGGTGCGGTGACACCATGGAATACGGCCTATACTACGAAGGCAACGGTGGTCAAACACTTGAAGCTTTCTCATGTCTTCCACCTTCAATGGCCATGTTTCGCAGCCATACAGTAGAACAGAGAGGACTGCTGTGCAGTACACGCGACCCTTAATAGACAAACAGATATCACGGTGGCGCCATAGGTGATGTAAAGTGGCAAAAGCCAATCGAGCTTTTTGTATCCGTGCCGAGATTTCATCGGCAACTGACCCACTAGGGCTGATCCTACTTCCCAGGTAAGTGAAGTGGTCAACACACTCAACCACTTCACTCTCTATTGTTAGCCGTGGCACCGCTGACGACCAATCCTGGAGCAGCAATTTGCATTTGGATGGTGAGAGACGCATCCCAAACATTCTCAAATTCCCACTCAAAGTGTTCAGAAGACTCTGCATCTTGTCAGCGTCTTCACTTAACAGGACTATGTTATCTGCATATTCTCCAGGTCTAACGAAAATTCTCCTGTGATTAGTTCGACGTCTGTGTAACCTGGTGACGAAAGGGAGACCTCCATAAGAATATCTATGATGAAATTGAATAAGAAAGGAGACTGACAGACACCACTCGATGAGCATAGCTCCCTGGACAACTCACCATAGTCTCTAACATGTCCACAAGTGTTCGAGTATAGAGCTTTCAATAAGGTGATGTGCTTACTTTGCACACCTTTCAGTGAGACACATTGCCATAAGACTTCTAGATCAACGGAGTCGAATGCCGCCTTCAGGTCGATAAATACTGCTATTGTCGGGCGTCTGTAAGCGTACCTATGTTCCAGAACCTGGTGCAGTGTGAATATTTGGTCAATACACCCGCGGCCGGATCTAAAGCCTGCTTGTCTGGTTTTCTCGGGCTTTCTGCTCCCGAGCTCCACTCAGGCGTCGTAGAATTATAGAAACTAGGATAATAATAATAATTTACTTTATTCCAAACAATTTATGGTACGATTTGGAGTTCTCAGCGTAATATATATACTGCAATAACAACAAAATATAAGTATATACATGCTCCTTTGCAGCCTTTCGAATTTTTTATTATAAAAATTTATGTGTATAATTTTAAAAACGAGTAAATTTTGCATTGTAAGTTAAATTATTGAAATGAGATTTTTAACTGTCACAAAGTTGATGTGTGATTTCTGTTCTAACACTTTTTTCCTCACAAAATATGCGTGCAAGGTAAGGTACAGTCAAATTCTTATACTTAGCTGTACGAGCATACAGTCTTATGTAGTTTCTCCTTGTCCTCCCTGAGGAGATACATGGAGAGAGCTGTAAATGAAGCGGATGCTCACTGTCAGTTAAAATTTCTGTAGCTAGTAGCTTGCAGGAATTTATATGTCTATCAACTACAGTGTTAATCAGTTGAGCCAGAGACACACCACTCACCCTGCTGATGGCCTTCAAAGCCCTACGCAACATAACATAGTCCTTTTTTAGAAGACCAGGAAAGATTAATGGGGAACAATATAGAAGAATAGGTAAAATGCAGGAATTAATAAATTGTAAAAGAAGCAGTTGAGTTATACCAGAAAGCCTCTTTACGTAATAAGTTAAACGAAAGATTTTTTTACAAGTCAATAAAATATGGGACGACCAACAAAGGTCAGAAGTAAAACGCAACCCAAGATAGTTCACACTCGATTTACTTTCTGCAGAAATACCATTGATGCAGCAGGTGTCATGAGATTTAAGCAGCTCACATAAGTCTTGTTTACGCCTGAGGCTAAAATTAACGGTCTGACATTTAGAGGGGTTTAGTTTGAGACCATTTGAGAGAGACCATTTACCAACTTCAGACAAGAATTCATTTAATTTCGAGCAATCCAAAGAAGGATTTACTGGAATAGAAATCGTCAGGTCGTCAGCATACTTGATAAAATTAGTTTCAACAGAATAAGGCAAATCGTGCAAAAAAAGGAAAACAGAAAAGGAGAAAGTACAGCACCTTGAGGCACACCAGCTTCAGTAAGCAATGAAGTGGAGCGCATCCCTTTATGAATAGTGTACTGTTTCCTTTCAGAAAAATAAGAATGCAGCCATTTTGTAACCCATGGATCAGTGTGAGCTATGGCAAGCTTATTTAACAAAAGTGGTCTAGGAACAGAGTCAAAGGCTGATGAGTAATCCAAAAAGGCACAACGGACATACTTAACACCTTTGTCGAGACTAGAAACAATATTATGATGCAAGACAGTAGCTGCATCTAAAGTACTCCTCCGGTGTTTGTAAGCAAACTGTTTTGGATCTCTGAAGGCCATCAATGAAGGCTCAATCACAAGCAGAAGTAATTTCTCCATTGTCTTCAGAAAAGGGGAAGTTATAGCGATGGGTCGAAAAGTAACATCTGATCCAGAAGATGGCTTAGGCACAGGTACAATTTTTATCTGCTTCCAAGCAGTGGGTATTATGTTTTTAGAGAACGATACATTGAAGATATCTGTAAGTGGATGACACAAAATATCTGCACATTTTCTAAATATGATACTAGAAACACCATCAGGACCTAAGCTTTGGGAGGGATTCAAAGACTTTAGACATTTAAATACATCATTTGTATTGAAACCTGGAAAGCAGCTATCCACTTGATTTTGCACATTAGGAAGGTGAAATTAGCTTGCCGACGTATAAATGACTTGTTTAACGCCAGACATCCGAACGAGTTTGTGTTGTCATCTGTTTTTTACCAGTAAGCTCTTTAAATAATTTCCATATATTGGAAGAGTTCTTACACGATAAGAACTTCTTGTTGTATATAGTATTCAGACGTTGTATTTCAGACTTAATTAGGCAGTTAAGCCTTTTAACGCCAGGGTGATCTCCTGCCTTATACAACCTTTCCTTTTCTCTCCGAAGCCTCTTGAGATGAGGAGAGGAAAGTCTGTCAAATCTCATGTAAATTGTTTCAGTAGGGCAGCAGATATCGAGACAGAATACGTGATATTTGATATCATTGAGGTTTTTCAGCGTCTGATTCCATTCCTCTAAAAACACAGCTATTAGGCTTATAGTTCACTATGAAACTTGGTCACATTTGGATTAGCTTAATGAATTAGCAATGTATTTTCGTGTGATCACTCTTAGGCTACTTGCACCTTCAATGACTGACGTGCATTTTAATTCTCACAGATGATTTCCTAGCTTTATCGATTAATAAACAGTTGAAATACTGCAACTTCACGAGATTGACTGTCTCGAAACTGAAGTTAACTAGGTTTGTTTACTAATATCCTATGACCACAGGTTTATCGAATTCTGCTTTGTTTTGAAAATGTCATTATCTATTTTAAACTACTACCAAGTAGCCTGTATAATTACCAGATAATTACACCATACCATAATAATGTTATTATGCTGTTTGAGATTCTAATTCTTCTGGCTAAGCGTTTTCAAATGCTGAAGTATGAAACTAGCAATTACTTTTGATCATGTTGAGTAGTTGGCTGTTGATAGTTGCTCTACCAGCCGTTGCAGGACAACAATAGCCATAACGGGATGGTGTCTCCAAGAGCAAATTAAACTGAGACAGAAGCGGTTTGTCCGTTTTTATTTCTCCTAAATACTTATATGTATAGGCTCTTAAGTCTTTGCACGATACACACAGATATAACTCGATGATTGATAGGAAAAGATATATGTGTGTTTGCCTCTGTTTTTTCGTGACCAGATAATGTATTGTATGTGGATTTTGAGATCGTGGAATTGTGATCTTTGTTAGAATAACAATGTTAACATAATCGCCGATCCCCAACCTCTCTTCATTAATCATTAAATCATCTGGGATTCAGTGTCATGAAGTAGATTTCACCGACTATGATGTTGCCACCTGGTAACATTCCAGCTGCTGAACAAATTCAGGATTAAGAACCTCTGATACTATAGAAGAATCACACCGCGGATCACTTAAACACTCAGCAACCTTATGCACATTCGTGCAGTAGACAGTGAGCCACATCTATTGTGCAAGGGCTAGTGATACTACCTCGCTGCCCAAACCTTGGTAGATGACGCGGCGTTCGAACCCGCGACTCACTGGTTGATAGTCGTCTCCCTAAACCCCCGAGTCACAGCTCTACGGATCACTAACTAAAATAGCACCTATACTCAAGGTTTCCCAAATTGTGTCATCTGTGTTGCCACTTAAATATCGTACGATCTACTGAAGCGCCAGTATACTGCTCTGCAATCCCTTTCGTTCCGTTACATGGCTTTGAGACATGGTCATTAAAAGTAGAAATTTGAAAAACCGGGTTTTCATCACACTTATCGTCTCATAGATTGCATTTGGTGGAATCACTGTGTGGAAATGTTGAGGTCAGCCGGAGGGTACCAGGCAAGTTGATCGATAAGGCTGTGAACCTGCTTTACTGAGATGGTTTTGACATGTACTGCGTATGCAGAGCAACCACTACGTCGGCGTCTTATGCTAGAAGGAGTTTGATTAGGTCAGAAGGAGATTCGGGGTGGGCAGACCAAGACTTGTGGTCGATCGATGAAGTCCCTGACTATTGGTTTGAGTTGTGTGGAGAGATATAGACTCCCTACTTGGGGTCACCGAGAGGACAGGAATCAGTGGTTGGGACTTGTTGGTGAAGTGGCTGAAAATCGGTCACAGTAGCACAAATGCACTCTCTTTGACGCCTTCTGAAGTTTGAATGTTTACACTATCCATTATCTTCAATGTTGTTTTTGTTTTCTCATACAACTTAGATATCACTCTGTTTCGATCCACCTGTTCCTTGTAAACTACTATGCAGTGTAGTAACTTGAGTTGATCTACTCCTGCTAGAGATTTTACGTTTGTTTTGTCAGTCAGTCTGGCAACATATTTGTTCTTAGTAAATGCCAAACTCATTACAGTTTTGTCACTACGAAAATTTTTGAGTTGTGCTAGAGAGATTCATACTTTCATAATAATAATTATTACTATTATCTAACATTGATAGTTATTTTGCGTGTTTAATGTGTTACTCCCTCTTTTTTTTCCATAAGGCTCCTAGTGACTATGCCAGAAGCTTCACTGATAACATCTCAACCTGTGGATAAACTTATTACTCCAAGAAGATCAAACAACATCATTAATATCCTCTTTTTCAATACTACCAATAATGATAACTCAGTCTTCATTGTTTATCCCTTTTCTGTTGTCAAAGCAAAGATATTGTTTACTTCACTTCCGGTTATTAGTTGTGTGAAGCAACCGAACAACTAATGGCTATTTTCGCAAATTGAAGTTGTTGTTGTTCTTTTTTGTACTTTTTAATAGAACACACTTCTCGTTTATTTTCCTAAAACAGACAAACTAGATTCAATCATCGGCCGAAGTTATACATATCAGTATAAGTTGAGTAATCTTTTCTCTCTGTACAACATCATCTTTACTTACAATTTGTGCCTTAATTACTTGATTCATTTGTTATTTTTATTTAATTGGCGTGTTGTTCCCTTTCCTCTTGCCTTGTTTCTGCTCCATCTTCTGTATACACATATATACATATTTTGTATTATTTACAGATGTTTCTTTTTGGAAGGAGATGGTAGGTAGGCTGTCTGTCTTCATTATTGTATAATTTTTAACTACCATTTCTTTTTTCTCCTCTCAATTTGTAACACGTGAATAGATCCATTAACTAGTTTATGAATTTTTTACGCATTGTTAAAAAAAAATTATTTTAAGTATTTAACTAGTGTGTTTAGTTGACTTTCGTTTGTATGAGGCTTAGAGTGTTTGTTGTATAGACTAACTTTTACTGCCAGTGGTAAACATTCCATACTATGATAACCGTCTACATATTGAAATTCTTGATAATTCCTTCTGGCTGTTTTAACGACAACAATAACATACTTACCAAGCACTACTAAATTGATAGCATTTATTTTCTATTCTACTATCGTGTTGTTGTATTGTATGATGGTATACTTTTCTGCTCAACTGGTGTTTCTGTTAGCGAGTTGCGTCGGAGTGAAGTGTAGCACACTGTCGATCATTTCATCTTATGTGTAAGTCAACAAATATCGTGTTATTCTTACCGATTATGGCTTGTAAATTAGTTTCATGATCGTGTTGATCTCTATTTGGCATTGAAATTATGCAAAAATGTTTGTTAAGGTGATGAAAATCGACAAGGATTTTATTCATACTGATTGTTTGATAACATCATTACCAAAAAATAACAACCATGTAATATATTTATACATATGTGTAGTCTTTCTTTCTTTGAAACTTTTACCGATCTCTGCTTTCGTCTAAATTCTATTTTCTTCATTCTACTTTAAAAAGTATAATTGTTTCACTTCGCTGCTTTTTCCACCATGATTTTTATGTCCAATAAATAAATGAAGCTGTTTGCCTGCTCAACGTTTTGACTTGCTATTTTGCTATTTCAATGAATACTGTGTTGACTTGTCTACTCCACTTGCTCACCTGGTTATCAGCTTACTGATAGTTGGATGTGTTTGATTTCGTCCTGAGTTTATGCTTTTATGTTCTGTGGTCGAGTTGCCGTTCCTTACTTTCTGCAAGAATGAATATTGTAAGCTTTTAAAGTTTTTTTTTAAGAAAGCGAAAATCTATTCCAGTAACAGACTGGTGGTTTTTTGGAACGAAACTATAGGGAAACATTTTTTTGAGTGATTTAAAAAGATAAATCTCCTGGTAAAAGAAGGAAAATGGATTCGAACTGTGTGATCTATTGCTAAGATTCTCTCTCTCACCTCACAATCAGGTAGATGTCCAGACTATCACATCAGAAAAATGAGAATGAAGATAATGTTTGACTACATCCGCACGACTGCTAATAACTATGAGCAACACGGCTCAGTCTCCAGTCATCGATTTTGGTTACGTTATAACCCCCAAATACAAGCTAACACTAGTTATAATATTATCCTTTATCATATACGGACTGAGAACAGTAAAACCTATCGAAAAGAGACTGTACGTCTTACTAACATACGTCTCATTCAAATTCGTATTATCTCTACGTCTACGTCACAAGTCAACCAAACTGACAAAGCAAAGGTTTTGTAAATATATCCCATGCGAATTCTTAATTTACAGGTGGGAATTCAGGTCATTGTATCATATAAATTGTTGCGGTTTTGCAACTACATTTACTTTATTGGTTGAGATATTTTTTTGCGCATTTAAAAGCTGTACCTTAACCGGACTGACGCCTAAATTTGAATCAATAAGCTTTGCCTTCTGGAATTACGACTCTGCGGTGATATTAGTAGCTTTTAAACACCGGATGCACCCCGAAGCCTAATTTATGACTGCTGACTTACCTAAATTTCACCGATCATTTTTAACAAACACTTGGCTTAAATTGTCAGAATGCTTAAGACAAGGATTATTTAAGTGAAATCTCCAGACAGTCACATTAAAGAGCATGACCAACTTGAATTGTTGAGTAGTGGAAATAGTATAAGTCAGATGACAGAAGGCTAAGATTGGCAGGTGATGGAACTGCTCTGAATAAGTGAGTGGTACAGTTTCGTTCATTGCCTAAAAAAGATAATTTATGGTTAGGTATTATAGTTTTATTTGTTCGTCTAATGATTTTTCACTTCCTGACCGACAGTATGGTTTTGTTCGCTATACTGTAAATAACCTTAACACGTTAAGCCTACGCTTACTGTTTATGGAAGTACAACTCAAAATAAGATCGATCATTTATTCCTTAAACTTACAGTAAGTAAAAAATTGCTGCAAGTATACTTATCTTATGACCACAACTATTGACACGACTTAGAACGTAGGCTTCATCCGATCTTCAATTCTTGAATTGAGTGGACTTGTAGCTCAATAAATATTTCCATTTCCTCACTAATGACTTGCTTCGACATGAAATTTGCAGATACTCTAATGAGAAGTCGTGGCCGGAACGGTAAATCAAGTAGGATATGAAGACAGTTACTCAATGACCAGGCTATATCACAAACTGACAGAAGTGGAAAAATGTAGACGATTGGAATCCCGTCGAGTGGCTAAATATTAACGAGCTGGCCGTGTAACCCAAAACCAACCATCGGGTTCGACCCCAGTCGGCGTCACGCGTGAGCACTGCTGAAGAGTCACATGCAGGGACAAAACAGCTGTCCAGTACTCAGAGGTTTTCAGTGGTTCTCCAAGTGATATCAGTCCGTGGTCAATGCCAACTTGTGTTTTTACTGGAACTCAAACACAGGATGTCTAACCTCAAAAGCCGTAAAAACAGTTATCGATTTAAGGAAAACACTGTGTATGTTACCAGACGATTATTTGACAAATAAAAAAGTATTGGCGCTAAATGGCCACGCAGCCCATAGGGCACCTACTTGAGGCCGGTCACACGCGGCCATTTCAGAAGCTCGAAATTTTGTTGGATCATTGTGATATATGTTACGAACCACCGCGTCAAAGTAGCACCTACCGGATGATATGATTTGGAATCGATTTGACTGCACAAATAGATCCACACATTATCTTCATCTCAGTGGTCATGTCCAATTTCACTACTGTTCAAATCTTTCTTGTTCTCTTCTTACGAATTTCGACCAATTTCAGTTACCTTCTGTATTTCTCTATCTTTCATCTTGATACTTTCTTCCTTGATGTGCCGATATGAAGTGTGGCAACTTGTACTAACGTTATATAGTAATCCTAGGTCTCATGTTGATGCTCACCGACACTGTATTATAAATCCGACACACTGACTGAAAGGAGAATTGCAATCTACTACACTAATATTGATATCCAATCGAGATCTAATGGCATTCTTGCTCCATTATTCAAGAGAAAAGCATTTGTATACTTTACAAGAACAGCGAATTGTTTGAACTATCGGTTGATAGGCTTGAAGCAGTAAACAATATTTGTTAGCTATGGTTTATTGTTGTTTATTTAAAACACAAGGTTGGTGAAAACGTGGGCACCAAAGTTGGACCACACACAGTAACATAGCAACGTTGAAAAGATAAACGTGATCTAGAAAGAAGATAAAAACAAGACAAACAAAAATATGCATAGTTTGCTAGAGGAGTAGCATCAAGTGTAGATTCACTTTTGTTTGCTAGAGACAATAAAACTGTGACAGGACTGTCGCTGGTTTCTTCCCAAAGTCCTGTCTGCTTTCGTCTCAATTGTTTGGAATAAAGTGGTTATTATTATGAAATCATTAAAAGTCACTGAACTGAGTGATCTCTCACACCCCACCTAAGGAGTCGTGAGGAACCTACAGATGCCAACCCAACCCAACTTTCTTTCATGCGACGTTGCCACGCCATATACTGGCCATCTTTTCACTCCTTCCAATCATTCACAGGGCAGGTGAATAGTGAGTGGTGTGGGACCCGCTAGAACGACATGTGTGACATATGTCCAAGTGATCGAGGCCGGTGTTTCAGGATGACCACATTGAACGAATGACACCTAAACACATGCTACCTCATCTCAGAATTAATTACCCGGTGTTTCCACCGAATGCTGTGGAGAAAGCGGTGATCAAATATATAGGGTCATAGGATACGTTTCACAGGCGAAGTGCAGAACTCCTCGCACAGACGCACTGTACACCCAACCTTCTACAGTACGGCCAACATCACGATGGCACCAAGTGATCCACATTGGTGTGTGCCACTCTGACTTTCGAAATATAATTGGAAATCTCATCAAGCATACCTTCACCAGAAGTCAAACAACTACCCAGGTATGAAAACTATTCGACTGCTTCGAGTGACAGATCATCAAGCGTCGTTGTAGGTGCAGGTTCCTGCCAATAGTAGCTTGTATGTTGTCATGCAGTCAAACGATATCATCCACATACTCAAGGTCAAAAAAGTTTTACCTAGTAACAGTCCAACACCACCACAACGTACTTTCTTCAACGCCGGTCTCAAGAGAACATCGTCGACAGCAAAATTTTAGAAGCAATGGTGAGATTGGGCAACCCTGTCTCATACGACTCTCGGTTTCGAACAATGGAGAGAGATGTACGTTTTCTCTCACGCTACCTGAGGTGTTTTTGTATGAACCCTTCAAGGTGAGGAACATGTCTCTCTAACTGACAATTCTCAAGTAAAGCCGCGCCAAACAAACAAAGGACGGCCCCAATATCGAGGAATATAACAATTGTTGGCCTACAACAGTTGTGACATTTTTGGCACTGGTGCACGTGAACACGTGACAAATGCATCATCCAGGATCTGAACCAAACTACGCCTGCTATTCAGGGATCAGATTCTCAGGCCAGTTGCACAACCTGTGAAATATGATAGTAGTCAACGCCTTAGACAGGAGAGGTAGCGAATGACACTCTGATGATCATTACATATATTACATAGACTCCCAATAAAATGTGTAAAAATATGAATTCATTCCAGAGTGATGGAATACTCAGTCTACCAAACCCTCCTACACAATGTAGTCAGTTCCCAAACTACCGCATTAACTAAATCCTTGAAAAGAACCAGGTGTGAGGTTGTTCGAATCACTTGCCTTATAGCGATATAGAACTCGGAGTTCCTTACGAACCACCGCTTCCTTAGGTGGGTGGAATTTTACAGACGATGAAGCGCAAGGTATTATTACTGGAACAGGTCAGCTAAAAAAATTTTCGAAGTGCCCCATCTGAAGTTCCGCTTATCTACAAAGGTTCTAGATCAATATTTCATGTTACTGCCACCAGACTTCCTGCAGGCGGTGACTTGGGTGAGATGGGACTTTGCCAGATAATGCTACTGCTTCCATCTCACTAGCACGTTATGACCATCAGCTTTGACGATCCCCATGTATATGCTGTTTGCGCTCTCGAGTAATGGACTTACATACACCACTGGCTCGCAGAGTTTACAAGCTCCTCGAAGCCGTAAATAGCTTTACTTAACACTGTCATGAGATCTCGGAAGCACAGACACTGCATATATATACTTCTGTAGGTTCAACAACTAGCTTTGAAACTAGGTCTGTCCGGTATTTTTTTGCAATACCGGTCGCAACCAACTGGTATAGGTCAATCTGTTTCGAACAACAATTCGATTACAGCTAAATTTCAAGATGAGAATAACACACACTAAAGCGTGATCAGAGTTCAGAGAGTTGCTTCAGAACAAGTGGAATTCGTGAATACACCAGCACCATAGAAGCTGATTGCAATATGATCTACTTGAGTCCAGGCTTGAGTGGCAGATGGACGTTGGGTAACAAAACTACGATGACTAGATTATGATCTGAACATGACAATCGCCATTATCTAACCTCCACCCAACTATTCCGCATTGACTACACTAGACACTCAGCCCGTGCATTTAAGACCTACGATATCTGTCACTCAAATAATAGTATAATTCATCCTCAACTTCATCCGGAGTGCAGTCCGTCAAAGTAAAGATGAAAATGAGACATCATTATGAACCAGCTATGAAATAAAATAAAAGGTACACAACAAATCAGGCATCTATCAAAACATGCTAAAATGCCCGGGAACTGAAGAAAACCACTTCGAATAAAGTTATAAGCTTTTTAATAGTCTATCGAAAGAAATTACATTAAAATTGGCTAGAAATTAGTTTTAAAGCTTTAATGATTAAGAGTTGTTCGCTGGGAATATTTTCACAAGTCAGTTGCATTGATTTCCTTGACAATAGTTCATCAAGCACAAAATCCCATGAATTTGGACGACACTCTGCACCTTCAAGGCACGTAGTCACTTCGGATAAAAACTCTGTCAATGAATTGGAACTTTGCTCGAGAGAATCAACAAGTGTAACACAATTAAAAATACCACCACGACCACACTGCATTACAACTGAACCATACTGACTAGTAATAGAATGTAAATCAGGTTCATAATCCTCTAGGGATAACTGAAATGCTGGTGAACTACCATATATCCATGACCAAGAACGTAAAGTAGTCAATTCTTTTTCGAAATTTTCTTTCGAAAGGATAAAATGATATTCTTCGCCCTCAGGGATATTTATCACAGTAGGACGAGGTGTAACTGAATCATTCTATAGAAAAAGGAGTTTTGAGAAAAAACAGTATTACCATTGAGTAATTTAACAGCCTACTGAATTTAGAAATAGCAGTAACCCACCAACTGAGTAATAGGGATAATTAAACATTTGTTGAACACTGTCTTCGTCTCCTCTATATTTCTTATTTGATATTGAAATGTGCACATGTATTTGTAACAAAACTTAGTTAGTTAATACTGACATGGGACATCACATTATTGAATAATGGGTTACGTCCAAGATGTCACACTGACTGACTGATAGTACCAACGTAGAACCTCACATACAAGTGCATCACATCAAGTCGCCACAATTCACAGTGCTACACAAAAAACACGTGGATAGAAAAGAACGATATCAAAGTAGACAAGGTTGCATTAGAGAAGCAGTTCGAAGATAATGGTTAGCGCAGGTGTTCAGACATCAAACAGTGAATACATCTGAGCCATTGTCACAGATTTTCAGCCATTTCACTAAAAGATCTCAACAAGTGAGTCCTATCGCCTCGGGGACCTCAACCACGAAGTTTACATCTTACACGACTCAGAACAACAGTCAGAGACTTCACCAACTGGTGCTATGTATGGTCTGGCCACGCTGAACTCTCTTCCAAGCTAATTCAACTTCCTCTAGCGTCGTACATCGAGGTAGGCGGTGGATCAGTATGCATAACACATGTCCAAGCAACCTCAGGCGATGAAGATTCACAACCCGATCAATTGACCTTCCTGTCCTGCCTGGTATCCTTCGCCTAACCTCAACACTGCTCACAAGGTGATTCCACGAAACGCAAGCAATGCTACGAAGACACCTGTGATTAATAACTTGTAACCGCTTCATATCTTCCACTTTTAACCGCCATGTATCACAGCGAAATAACAGGACAGAATGAAATGCAGCGCAGTACACTCTTCCTTGAATAGGCATTCGCATATCGTGCAAGTCGGTGCTAGAGATCACAAATCAGTGACTGCTGAATGGATCTTCTGTATCCTAGCTAACATTTCGTCAGCAACCAGTTCGTTCGGGTCGGTGCGAATCCCTGAGTAAGTAAAATAACCAGTTCATTCTACGGCTTTACTCTATCCTTAAGCTGAGAGTAGTTTCAGACCAGTTATGAAGCATCATCTTATATTTGAAAGGTGCAAAACGCATACCAGCCACACATATACAGATTTCTGCTCAAAACATCCAGAAGACCCCGCATTTCGTCAGTGTCTTCGCGATGAGTCTTATGCTGGAGATAAAAAAGTACCCAAACACCACTCAGTCACAAGTACATAATCTAAAATTACTTTTTTATTCAGAGTAAATATGACTTATCTCACCTTAGATATCCATTTTAAACTATTCTCTATTATTACATCTTGAAGAAGTTCAAAATCCAAGTTCAGATTTTTCACAGAACTTCGAATACTATCAGTTGCCTTGGTATGTATATTTGCCTGAAAATATAACATTGCATAAATAAAAGTAAATTTTACCGTGTGTGGGGTGAGAGGGAGAGAGTGGTGCGTTAGAATTGCCAATAATCAACTACAAATTAGAGGACATATGTTAAACACTTAGCTATACGGATTTCCTATTTCAACGCTAAAAATCAAAAACGCTAGAGAATTATGAAGTGGTTGCATCTGTGATAATCATCAGATCATAAATGGTGGTATGAAGTGTAAAGTTCAGTTTACCGAGTTAAATGAGAAATCTGGCACTCATATGTGCAGTTCGGTCCAGAAGTATACACACAGCTCGGATATGGAAGGCTCATCTGACATTTATCAACTTGTGTTATCACTGGAGCCGATAAGATATCCAACTATCTATTCAAGAACGAGTATTATGCACTGCAGTTCATTCTGTCTTGTTACATGACTGAAACATGGCCACTAAAAGTAGACGTAAAACGGTCACGAGTTTTTGATCATAGGTGTTTCCATAACATTGGTCTCATATGCTGGAATGACCAATTGAGTAGTGTCAAAGTTAGGCGAAGGGTACCAGGCAAGATAGGCCAGCGATAGATAAGGATATGAATATTCACTGACTAAGGTGAACTGGACATGTGCTGCCCATGCTGAGCCATCGTTTACTTCGACATGCAAAAAGTGGGGGGGGGGTTTGGATCGGAAGTAGCGAGCGAGTAGCGAGCTGAGCGAGTTTGAGTTCCAATAAAAACACAAGTTGGCATTGATCACGGACTGATATCACCTGGAGAACCACTGAAAACCTCTGAGTACTGGACAGCTGTTTTGTCCCTGCATGTGACTCTTCAGCAGTGCTCACGCGTGACGCCAACTGGGGTCGAACCCGGGGTTGTTTTAGGTTACACGGCCAGCTCGTTAATATTTAGCCACTCGACCGGATTCCAATCGTCTAAATTTTCCCACTTATTTCAGTTTGTGACAACAAATTCAAACGACTTTCAAAGACAGAAGCCAGATTCATATACTATCGTATATTCGATATTCAATGTCTCAAAAACCAAGTCACTCCAAATATCTACGTCTACGTACTCCGAGTCCAACTGACAAGGTGTATGCACCAGTACGACCTCTCAGTAAACTCTTTCTAAAAGAAAAAATTCATAGAATAGTCAAGAAGTTGCGCACCATCCGTAGCTATATTAAAGAACCAAAGTGTAAACTGATGGAAACAGTTGGTGGAAAAGACTATAAACTTCCGATCGACATCTTCAACAAAGCGAGATGAGCTGCCTTTAGAAAATCCACGAATGCTCTAATAAAGAAGTCCAACAAGCTAACAGAAGAAAAGTATCCAGTAGAGAATAATGAGATTCCCGGCAGCACATCGCCAGTCAGCGATAAAACAAAGTAGGTTGTCAGTCTCTATACTGAAGTTTTAAACTCAACGGAAGTGAAGGTGCTTGAGAAAGGACTTAACTTCACTGTAGTAGTTAATGAGCTGAGCTGAAATAGCATTAAGTTCAGTAGATAGGACAGTGGCAGGTCAGGTTTGAGCACAATGAGCTCTAGTACGTAAGCGATAGAAGAAAAAGAAACAGAATCTACCAAAAGCAGATAGGGAAGCTTGGAAGGACTTTTGGAATGACAACAGTATAATAATTGCTAAATCGGACAAAAGCAACTCAACAGTAGTGTTAAACAATCCAAGGAAAATATTGAAACGACCGTAAGAAGAAATTAAGAAACCAGTGGACACTATTATGAATAAGTTTAAAAAAACCATGGGGGATCTAATACGCTGAATGGAGCTTTTTCTAGGTGAGTCGAAATGGTTTAATTTAATGCCAGAAACTAATCATCCCAGTAGGATTCATGATACTATTAAAATTCATAAGAAAGGTTATCCTATTAGATCCATAGTCGAGTTGGGAGACACTCCTATTTATGACTTATCTAAATATTTAGCAGTGGTACTAGGTCCATTTAGAAACCGTTCTAAATCGAGACCTACTAACTCAGTTTGAAGCATAGATTAGATGATATGTATTTGGATGATGATGAAAAAATAGTTAATTTTGATGTACTTAGTTTGTATACTAATATACCGATTGGGATGGCACTTGAAGTAGTTAGATATAAGCTAAATAGTGACCATAAGCTTACACTACAAACTAAGGTATCAGTAGAATACATCATGTTAGGAGTACAGCTATGCCTAACATCCATAATCTTTAAGTTTTAGAATAAAATATACAAGCAAACAAAAGGAGTTGCCATGGGATCACCAATATCCCCTATTGTGGCTGACATATTTACGAACAGTTGGGAACGGATGGTTGTGAAAACAATTAGTCCGGCTCCAAAAGTACGGTTTCGATATTTAGACGACACGTTTACATCATTGAGGTTGGAGCATATACATAGTTTCTTTACACATAAATACAGTAGTCAACGCAATCTAATGCACCTATGAATTAGAAAATAGTGAAGGGGGAATTAACGATGTTGGATTGCAAAAATAACGAAAACAAGATGGGAGTTGAGACACTAGTGTCTACAAGAAACCTTCACACTGGAATTGTTGCTTAAACTTCCAATCGTCTCACCCTATGTCGGTTCTAAAAAGGGGCTGGGTAAAATGTCAAAGTAACAGGGCCGGAAAAATTACTAGTAAAACAGAAGATCTAAGACAAGAAACCAGATACATTAAAAACCACTTACTCATTTGCAATCACCCTCCCAAATTAATTGATAAGTTCTTTTGGAATCATAAGAAGAATATAACTAATAGTTGTAACAAAGGTATTAATAGTAGCAATAATAATATTCATAATAGTTGTGGCAATACTATGAAGAGAGGATTCGAAACCTCTACAGTATTACTATACAAGGAATGCACCTCAGAAACACTACGTACAATTCTCAATAAGTTTGGGATTAGAGTGACATTTAAACCTACAAACTTACTTCGAAGTTAGCTTTGTAAGTTAGCAGATCCTATCGATCTAACTAGGCAGAATTATTTGGTTTATGAAATCCCTTGCAACCATTGCCAGGTCAAATACATCGGTGAAAGTAGTTGACTGGGGTCAATTAGTCTATCCGAGCACAAAAACCTAGCTAGTTTAAAATTGGTAGATCCTAGTAAGATAAGGAATCTAGGGAAAAGCTCGGTCGTAGCTATATATGCAATTACGCACAACCACACAATACGATGGGACAGCGAAAATCCTCAAAAGCTAACCCAGTGGGCTGCAGGGATAGATTGATAATTGAATCTTTATTTACCGAATCAATACCTAATACGTGCAACAGGAATGACTCAACACCTGTTCCGGATATATAGAAAATCCTACTATTATCATACTACTACAAAGGGCGCGGAGAAATTAGGACTGTATAAAGGATGCCTCAGCGTTGTTGAGTTATCCTGATATAACTATGGACAATAAATTATATCCGAAACGTTATCCAGTAAACAATGCTGTCCTACTGTGTGATAAACCTAATAAATAAACTAGAATGGAACTAGTCCTGCAGAATATATTCGTCATGTCTTCTGTATACAATGGATCATTGAGCTTGCATCAGATATTCTGTGAGGATCTGGCTGATTTCTATGGAACGCTTATGCCAAATGGATGAAGTAATCTGAGTCTCTGAGGTATCCTTGATGTACTCAACGAAAAAGATTTCTCTCAACAAATTCATCTTCAAGCTGTACATTCATATATATATCTATATATATATATCGTTTAAAGACTGCAATTCTTGAGGAAAATTAAATTTAAATAATGGGAGAACGAAATAACACTAATGATCTTTTTAGTTGTAATAAAGTTATTATTTGATGACGCAAAGATTGAATGTACGAATATATGAATGTACAGCTTGAGTATAAATTCGTTGAATGAATTCCTTCACTGAATATCTTGTTTTCGATGTCACAATGAGAACTAGAAATTTATCTTTCATATGCGGGAATGTGGTTCGTTTTGTTGGTTAAAGTAGTTGTCTCGATGTGTGAACTGCTGATAGTTAAGTCTTGATGAAGTTGATTAGATAGTCATTGACCCCAAATACTTTGTAAAGGTGGTTTTCTTGTGACTTCTGCAGTTTTTGATTGCTACAATGAGTTTTCGTGCGCATGAATAGTGCTTGTACATAACTCATCTCGTGAAAAGTTGGGTTGCTACTGTTGTAGTTCAAAAGTTGTTTTGTACATGTCACCCTCCTGTGGAATATCTACCTTAGATACTTTTGGTCGAACTTAGAATTCAAGTTAAACTACGCTATGGGTTTTCATTCACCTTTATTCTTCTTTCATGATTCGACCAGCTTTGATTAGATCGTTCAGTTTTCGTTGAATTTGGTTTTCCAGTTGTTCGGTAGGATTTTTGTCTACCTGTTGATAAGTGCTTTTATCACCGAGCACTTGTGCTTTCTACACCTAATCCGCTTTGTTCGTGATGACAGTCTTTCTTCCTTTGACCTTTTGATAATATCACAATTTTCATGTCTGACATGAGTGAATTCAGTGCTTTCCTTTCGTCTGTGATGAGTTGGTGTTTATTTCTCTTGATTTTCACCAACTGCATGACTGTCTATCGTAGCTCTTTTTGTTTTTCAGCTGTTATTCTTGTACAAAAATCCAACATATTCGCATTCTCTACATTGTAGCTTGATCCTTTTCGAAGTAAATTGTATTCTGCAGAGGATAACATTCTTTCTGAAATATTCACTGACCACTCCTGGTTTGTTTCTTTTCCGCTGATTCGCAGAACTTGAGCAATCTACTTATCAGTTTTTCGCTAATCTTCTCGCCTGTTTATGAAACTAAATACTGTTAGCAAACATCTATGCCACTTAGTGTAACGGGTGTCTTCTAACTATTCTTTCGGAAATTCTGGTTGTAAACAGATTGATACACTGTTTGGACTCATTGAAATGCAAATAAGTTCTACTGTAAAGTCTCATACATGACGGTATTTATACGTTAAACTTATTGACCAAGTCACCAT